TTAAATTTCATACTTATTGGAGGGTGTTGAATAAAATAGAGAAGAGAGGATACCTTCTCATACTATGGGAAATTCAGGATATTTTTAAATATTGCCTTATCAAATTAAGAACTTTAAACTTGTACAGTGTTAAAACATGGATTACTAGCTACGATTTTATGCTATACACATAACAAAAAGTATTTTAATTAAATTTTGAAAATAACTCGCTAAAAGACAGTGACATGTGCAGTTAGACCCACCCATCGCAAAAGGGTTAAACACCTTCAGTAAGCTATTTAATGACATTTGATTTAGAAGTAAAATATGCATCTTGTATATACTACCAGACTGCATCTGGATGAAATTTGAAATACTATCATTTTACAATAAGCTTTATCAAATAGACTTAAAAAATAGAGAAGATCTGTTGAGCTTATTACCACAATATAATCTTGATCACAAATAGTTTTACAATAACTATTACAACATCATATTTTGAAGGTACATATCATGAATCTATTATAATACATACTATTCTGTAAGCAGAAAACACCTGAACAAAAAAAAACCTTCATCTTTTAAGTCAAACGCGTAATATCAAACAAGCACCAAGGCAAACATTACATAAGAATCTCATTTCAGTATTACACTAAACAGCAGGAACTATGCAGACTTACCTTTCATTATTTTTTTCTCAGACTTATTTAAGTGATCTTCACGAACTTCAACCAACTCCTGGGATGGTGGAAAAATCTGTAAACAGGCACTACATTAATAAAATATTTTGATATCTTAAACTTATTTTTGTGTGAAGTGATCCTGTTTATTTCATAATCAATTATTTTTTAACAATTATGATACTCCATGACAGGAAGCTACTTTAGCACTGCAACAATTGTCTATGTGCCAAAAACAGCTTCATTCATTTCTATAAAACTTTTTCTAATTCATTGCTGAGCTGAACAAAAATGTAAATTAAAAAATACTAGAAACTTACTACTTCTCCGATAAGTTCGGGTGGCAACTTGTGAATATTGATAGTTTGAACTTTACGATGGAAACCGTCAAAGAATAGCACGCTATAACTACCTAGACGTAAATATGAAAATATCATCAAAGAACATAAGCCACACTCAAGATGCTATACATGAGTCTTACACTTTTTGTGTTTAGTTGTGACTATCACATACAATATTTCATTATTTCCAGTTTTTCAATTAAAAAACTCCAAAAGATCCAAGACCCATTACTCTTACAAATATTTCAGTTTAAGCTCTAATAATATAACTTAACATTCAGCTATTTACAAAATTGTAAAGTAATTATTCTAATAATAACCTTAGGATCAAATTTTAGTTTATTATCTTGGTTTTAAGGCAGATAATACAAAAAATCCCTCTGTATATCACTTTTACATTCACATTAATTAGATGGTCATTTTAAGACTTTTCTTTACCTAAGAACAAAAAACATTTTCCCCTGTATTTATACTATAAGTTACTTTAGTGAATAACATGTTACACACAGCATCTTCCTGAACATGTAATCTGTTAAAATTATTCACTAATCTAATAATTTTATACATTTGCAAACATAAATATTTACTGACTTTTGATTTTAGTATTCCCATTAGTACTTGTCATTATAGACCTTATATAGATGTGAGCATTGGTTGTTAAGTCTTTATATTTCATATATATCATGCAAGAACTACAACACATTGAAACTTTCGATACATAGTTTGAAGAAAAGAAGAAAATATATGGAAAATTAATAATTTTTATGAAATTCAACCACAAAATATAAATTTTCAAACAAGTATTTCTTAGGAGAAGTTTTTTAATCCTAAAGTAGTATCCAGAATGTTTTCAAATAACATTAGTAAAGTTATAAAAAATTAAAAATATCAATGATACATGCATAAGTGCAATAAAGTAGCTTACTAGTTCAAGTAAAAGTGGTTTTAGTTGTAGACGTTTGGTATTCTATACTTTATTTATGATTAATCTTATTATAAGCATTTCTAATATGGTAGGCTGGTAGAGATACTGATGAGTAAGAAAATTGAATCAGGTTTAAGCTCACTTCACACTTTGTATTGCTGGAACACAAAAATATAGCTAATAAAAAGAAAAAAAAGGTCTCGTAGATTAATTTACTCTAATCCTGCCTAAAAGAATTTCAAGTGCCACAGCTATTGAGGATTCCCTCTTGTTTTGGTTTTCAGTTTTCCTCACCTAAACATCTTTAGATATCACATAAACTGTATGGACACTACTTTATAGACAAACCATCTATCTGTAACAAAATTTCAAAAAAAAAAAAATTAAACACCAATTATGTCTTACAAAGAATAATTTAAATAACATGATTTTTTTTCTTTTCTTTTTACTAAGCTGTAGGACTAAATAATTTTGCATATATTTTGTTCTGAAGGTCATAACCTCCAAGAAACGTATGACATCATAGGGTGAGAAAGGAACCAACAGTAAGGGTGAACTTGTTATTAATTGGCGAGTCTTAAGAGTGTCCCCTTTTCAAGAAGCTCAACATGAGTTTCCTGTAAGAAGACTGTTGTACACCTCTGACAACAATACTTTTCACTCAGTAATAGAGCTCATCAAGCCAGTTAAATAACATGATTCTTTACTGGCTCAACATGAGTTTCCAGTAAGAAGACTGTTGTACACCTCTGACAACAATACTTTTCACTCAGTAATAGAGCTCATCAAGCTAGTTAAATAACATGATTCTTTACTGGCTCAACATGAGTTTCCAGTAAGAAGACTGTTGTACACCTCTGACAACAATACTTTTCACTCAGTAATAGAGCTCATCAAGCTAGTTAAATAACATGATTCTTTACTGGCTCAACATGAGTTTCCTGTAAGAAGACTGTTGTACACCTCTGACAACAATACTTTTCACTCAGTAATAGAGCTCATCAAGCCAGTAATAAACTATTCTCACTGGAAATCGAAAATGAATGAATAAATAAAAATATGGCATTTAAATTGTCATCAGTTATTGCAAATTTTTGATATTATATCATACACATATTATTAAAAGGTCATGCTTCCCCAACTACTGGTAATTTACACCCTTTCACAGGTTGTCTCATAAATAACAAACTTAAGAAACATTTCAATTAAGATTTGTATGTTTTCACACAGCTGACCTGATGAGCTTTGGAGTTGAACAAAGGGTCTTGTCAGCAAACAGGGTATAACTGAAATGCTATTATACACTCTTCTTTTGGAAATCCATACTGAGCCAGTAAAGAAATATGTGATTCAAATTAATAGAAATTATGATGCAATATCAAACACATATTACTACAACTTACCATCATCAAAAATTTCAGCAATCTTTGCTGGATACATTTTCCTATCTGCCCATCTGGCAAGAACCTCTTCACCCACTTTGTAAACCTAGACAATCATTTATAAAACAATTTCTTTAAAGTCTTGGTTGACACACTTAGAAAAACCTATTTATTTCTCATGTTTATTTGTTTCTATTTCTAATACTGCAATTAAAATATTACTAGAAAGCTGTACTGTCATTTCTTCCATTTAGTTCAACAGATTCATGTTTGCATTTTAATATTAACAGTCAGGTGAAAATGTCAGCAATTTAGTTATGGTAGTTGGGAAAAACTAGAACTTGTCGTTTTTTAACCATGTGAAGGTTTCAGCGTGTAGGCTAAAATGTTGTCCAAAAGTCAATATCAAGGATAAACTATACTTTGTTTGAATTATACAGTAAGTTAATACAAGCTTATATAATTACAGTTATCTAGTGAACCTTTTATCAGACATACACATCCAATAATCATATGTGTTGCACATGTGTGAAATGAAAGTGCAACAAGGACAAATGCAAAACAGCACTAAAGAAAGAAAGGAATTCAATTAAGTCATCTGAAAAAGGCACAGGACAAAACACATCTGAACATAGGCAGTGATGAGTAAAGAATGAGTCTATGATCATGCAGATTACTGAGCATGAAGGTTGTGTCACCCTCCAATTGGTAGAGGACTACAGCATTATGAAGATTATATCATAGGCTAACACAACACACATAGACATGTGTAGGAGTGTAAGTTTGTTCAAGACCTGCGGCATGCACAGGAAATTCCATGACAGTTGTAAACAAAGTAATAAATCTTATTGTTACAGAGAGGTAGGTAGCATTTCTGAATTAAATTTTTGACCTGTACCTATAGCACTAGTAACAAAGTATAATCTTACACAAAAATAGCAAATACTAGAAAGTGTATTTAAATATTCAATTTTTAGCTACATGTACCAGTGCTATATTATATAATTAGCATTAAAATGTATACCTTATAGCTTTTTTGTTTTACCTGAGCAGAGGTCACATAAGATGTTTCATCTTTCCTTGTTTCCTACATTTACTGTATTATTTGAATTATCTTCTTGTCTACTTGATTTTATCTTTTGTTTTACAGACAAGCTTCTGAAATTACTTTTTAATCTACAAAACAGCTGGTCATATATAATTACAATTTCATTTACCCTATTGGCCCGATTATAAGGCAATGTTTTTTGGTTTTGGTTTTTTTGGTTTTCCCCTACTCTAGCCTGTCACATTCCTGAATGTACAGATATCATCCATCTACAATTCCACGCCAGATACTCAATCAAGTTCATCGCTAATTCTTGCAACTAATCAACCAGCAGGCTGTTCAGTTATAATAGTGGTCTTGCAGACCTCAAAAGGGACGTTATGACACTCTGACAGTCTGGACTGCAACAAAGAGATGCTGGCAAGTTGTGGGATTCTTAGGAGGAGAAAAGGATACCACAACTGGTGACAACTCCCATAGGTGAACAAATCAGGACAGGTATGCACCTACCTTGCCAAAACCCACCGGGTAGTCACTGGTACCAATAGTATTATGTGTTCCTGCAGTGAGAAATATGATGACACACCATCAGAACTGTGGAGAGAAGAATAAGTAAGGGTTGAGAAGAAGTGAGGAAGGAAACAAGAGTGGAAACAGGGGCAGGTGATGGCTGGGACAACCTGGAAACCAAAGAAGAAATACAGGAATGTTGTCTTGCAGATTCCACCCACAACTCCAGAGACATCTCCAAAATGAAATCTGCATTAAAAAGGTGCCCCACGAAGGTGATGCAGATAGGTAATGGGTACGTGCACCTGAGACAAAAATGCATCCCTACCTAGGAGATCCCAGCAGTAGAGGAGCCATATTTGAAGAGCAAGAATAGAAGAGGATAAATGTGCTGAAGTGGAAAGGTGCAGGTCTCCTCAGAAAACCCCTTTGGGGATTGGTGGAGAGCCTCACCAGGAGGCGCATGGTAGACAGACACCTAAGGATAAAGGTTAGGGTCAGGCAGTGTCTGGAAAATTGAGCCTGGGAGAACCTAACTGGAGAATCAAGTTGGCCCCACACACTTGCAAGTGTTGTGAGTATAGAAAAGGAAAGTATGTTTGCTGATAAGTCAATGCAAAAAGATCTGAAGATTAGGGTGAAGGCATGTTGGATCCTGCACATAATTGTGCCTGGAACTGATTAGCATGGACCCTGATATCTGGAGGGGGGGGGGGGGGACAAAGCATTTTGATGAAGGAGCCATGTGTAAAACGGAAGGTGCAGGATCATATGAGATGGGGACAGAGACAAAATATAGCATACCTGCAAAATTTTGTTCAAAAAAGGCTGAGAGAGGCTTGGCAGCCTCCACAGGTGGTAAATAAGATTGCACAGAATAGGTTGGGGGAGGAAAAGACTAAATCCTCATCCACAAGACCAGATTCTTTCAGAAATGGAAGATCTTGTCCAGGTTCAGAAGAAGCTGGTTGTCTCATATGGTGTTCAAGCTCACGTCAAACTAAGGCTGAGGCCTCCTCAGCCAAAAGTGTCAAACCTGAAGCCCGAGAAATGACATTTGAAGTAATAGTAGTCATGCTTGTAGTAGTTGTGACAAAATTCCAAATTCATGGTTCAATAAAGATCAATGCACCAAAATAAATAGCAAAGATAGAAAAATAAATACTTAAATTTACTTCAACTCAAATTGTAATTGAAGTGTTAATTTCAAATTATTACTTCGAGAAAAACAAATGCAAAAAAAAAAAAATCAAGACGAGTGCAAATGTGAAAAAAAAAAAAAATTACAAGAACATCTGAACCCAATAGTACCTAAACAAGTAGTGAAGATTAGGCAGAATAGTATAGAGGGAGTAACCTGCATCAAGACAGTGTGTCACGCTCCTATTGGTGGAAGGTTGCCGCATACTTATTTGTATATGAAGAAGCAGTAAAACCACATTAAATGTGGGGTAAGTGGGATTTTCAAAGCTAGTGGCAAGAGTAAAAATGTTTGTGTACAGAGAGCAAAAATGAACAAGAGAAGCTATTACATGAGAGGAAGTAAGATACTTTATCGCATTATATTTTTAACATTTACCCACTGATGGGAAGGATGTGAATGCTTTTTTCTGACATAATTGAAGAATATATATTGTGAAAATTTTCTTCATTTTGAAGAGAAAAAAACACCGACAAGTCTATGCAGGTCGAGGATGAGTTTAGAAGTGAGAAGGATAGTGTGTATATGTATGCAAGACGCTCAAATTGACTTATTTAAAATTTTTACATTAATTGTTTAGCATACCACCAACATTAGCTCTACATGCCATTAGTGAGTGGTAGGTGTACCATAATTTGAGAACACCTGCATTAGATAATAGTTGGATGTTTATCAACTTACTTATAAAGTGAGTGGAAATGTGCTCAAGTTACATAAAATTACCTAACTGCACAGTGTCTCAAGTAACTTAAATAAAAGTATTGTAAATAATATGTGCTTAATATACAAAGAACTGGTATCTAGGGATACCCAAACTGACTAAAAGAACAAAATAATACACAATTACTTTCTCAGTTTGCATGGTGTGACCTTCGCTCAGACAAAAAAGGTATTACCTATTCATATTATATTCCACTGACACAAGTAGTCAAACAGCAGATGACCCAGAAAGTATATATAAGTAACTAACTAGTTAAATATTAGCTCACGAATAAAAATCTGACAGTTAAAAAATAAATGAAACTCAAATAAAAGTATATGGTAAATATTAACTCAAGAATAAACGCCTGCTAGCTTAAAAATAAACATGAATGAAAATTAATTACATTCTATGCAGTGGTTGTTATAATCCAAATTATTTTGAAGTTATAATTTTCTTATACTGATTTTTTCCAATAGGTATGTACCTACTCTCACATAAATAGTTATTTTCGTTCAGTACATCCCCTATATGCAAAACCTGTTTTGATGCCACAAGTCTTGAGCTCCCACATACCTTATCATGATGCATGTGACTCCCTCTATTCTATTTTACTGAACTATCATTTTGAGTTTTGACACAAAATGGAAGCATGAGTTTTCAGTGGGGAGGAAGGGTGAGATAAGGTAAGTACCTATCAGAAATATATTTTCAGTATAAGAAAATTATAACTTCCAATACAGTACATTATCTCCTCTCACATAAATATTTAGAATCCTACATAGGTGGAGGGACTAGTGTAAGGGAAAACAAAGAAGTATTCCTCTAAAGCATCCAAAGAACACCCTAAAAGAATAGATCCTCACATTAGAGGATAATACATGGGAGACCACACCACTTCTGTACCAAGTATACTCTTCACTTAGCGTGGAAAAAGGTGTCATAGATATGGGCAAAAAATGGGAGGAGCGAATCCAAACAGGAGAGGAACAATGGCTAGATGAGGATCTGAACCACAATGCATCAGAATCTCAATCCCATAGAGTACATTAATGTGGGTGAGAGTAAAAGGGTGTGCACCTAGGTGTAGATTGTATAGGTCACAACGGACTGTACATGGCAAGTCAACTGCATCAAAAACCCAGCCACCAAAAACCAAGATCCACGTGAGGGTAGGATGATGTTCATACTGTCGGTAAATTAACTACAATCCAAAACCCAGCCATCTGGTGGGGTTAGGATAGAGGATCATACTGCTAGCAAACCAACTACAATTCAAAACCCAGCCACCAGGAATCGACATCCATGACGGGGTAGGAAAGAGGATCATACCAGTAACAAGTCAACTACAATCCAAAAAATCAGCCATCTGGTGAAGGGTAGAAAAGAGGATCATACCGCTTTTCCTCAAGTTCAGCAGAATGAAGGGAATCTCATAACCTCCGACCTGTGAACAAGATACATTATAGTAATGCGATAAATTGTTTAACCGATCTTGGAACCCAACATCTGGAAGATCAGTATAATAAAGATGTCTCTGTAATGGAAACTAACCCACTCAAAATCATCCAACAGGAACCTCCCCAGCACAATAATATTATCAAGGGATAGCATAAGAGGAAGAACTGTATTAATCTGCAAGTTAGA